GTATTTTGTTTTTTTAATAATAATTTTTTTATTTATAACTTTTTAGCTGTATGCCAGGCCACGCCCTATCTTTTTGCTTGCTAACGCATGAGTTGCTTTGCGTTGACGCAGAATTAACATGTTCCCGTGGGAATTTTGAGAAAAAACGTATCCTATATTAATTACTCCCGTGATTGAAATGAATCTAATGATACCGCATACATATTTTTTAAAGGGAAATTTAGAAAAAATATTATTATGTCTTTATCCCGTGGGACTTTTAGGATAAAATGTATCCTATGACACTCCCGTAATCAAGACAAATCTAACGATACCTCATACATCAAAATCCATCAAGCCGTTTAGGCTACAGGAGGTCACAAAGGAAAAGACATACATACATACTTACATACACTCGAAAAACATTACCCTCCTTCTTTGGCAGTCGGGTAAAAAGATGCTAAATCATTTTAAACTTTATTCAAACTCTCTAGAAATAAATTTCCGATAACAATTAATCAACTCTTAGATTGTGATACACATTACAAACTCAGTCGTCCTCTTTGACTGCATTGACATTCGTTTCTTATCGAAAACCAAATATTGTGATTCATTCATCAGAAGAATTATCGTTGCAAAATAATCTTTATTTACATACAGATACGTGTCATAATAATTGTTTGATTGGATTATTTATACATGTACCTATACTACAATGGATACTGCATAACAGAATGATACATTTTATTTTTAATGTCTCGTAACCGGGTCTGTGATATGATTGGTCGCTTTTCGATTGAAATAATTTTAATCTTTTTTTTTTAAAGCGACTGTTGCCGGATCACCTTCTTTTAAGCCATGATGCCATTCCTAGACATTCTCAACTTCGAGGGGTTTTTTTGAGTGACTCGTTTGAGGATCGGGGTCTAAACCCATATTCTCCCTCCCTCTTGTCTCTTAAATGTCTGCTAACTTCTCCCACAGGATAATCAGCCATATTTTTTTCTGTAATAGATCAGCAAACTAGCACACGTATTACCTGATGGTAAGCAATCAGCGCCGCCCCTGCAACATAGGCGTTACGAGTGCCTTGCCGACCTTTTGGGCATAAGGGTTTTGAAAATTAAGGAATTGGGGGTGGGGAAGGATTGGGCCTCTGGTAACCTCACACGGCGAAACACAACGCTTTGGTTGTTTCACGCCAGTTTTCTGTAAGGCCGTGGTATCGCTCCGGTCGAGCCAACCCATTCGTGCCGAAGCATGGCTCTCCCAAACTTAAATTATTGGAAACTCTAAAAGTATAGAAGTAACGTTTGTCAATTATTTATTTATATTCTTTACATTGGGTGCTATAACGACATTAATTTAAAAATATTTTTATTATTACTCTCACGGTCAAATCTACTATAATACACTAGGTACCATATCACGTTTTCTAAACCGTTAAATTTCGTTTTAAACTGTAACTGAAAACGTGAACAACTCGTTAATTAGTTACGTTACACATTCGATTTTCATGTACCTAAATAATAATATAATATAATCATTATAATAAGCGTATTATTATAATAAAATTTCTGGCAGCGGGTTTGTTCTCATTACCAGGCTAAACCAGCCTTTTTTGTCAGGGAAAAATCATCAAAAGACTTCTCCCGGCCAGGGTAAGGCGAGAGAGAGAGAGAGAGAGAGAGTGTCAGACTCTTACTGACTAAAAACCCCCTCATTCCTTCTCCTGGTTGAGGCCGAGGCCGCGGTGCCTCATTGCGCTTTACCCGGCTGAACACCAGCCATATAGGGCCCCGTCTGTAGTGGTCTATTTGTTCTTTGAGGCGTGCGCGGAACGCTACGCGCCGAACGCTCAGGAGCTGGGGATGTGGTGGCAAGCACAATAATATACCGTAGCCCTCGCCTTGAGCAGGAGAAGGAAGGGAATGATTGTGAGCCAGTAAGAGTCTGACACTCTCTCTCGCCCCACTTAGGGCCGGGAAAGCCATCTCGTGATTTACCTATCTATAATAATATAAAGAGGTAAAATTTGTAAGTTTGAAGGTTTGTTTGTATGTTTGTAAGTTTGCAAATTTGTATGTAGGGGGTAATCTTTGGAACCGCTAGTCGGATTGGTAAAATTCTTTCACTGATAGATAGCTACAATGTTCCTGAGGCATCATGCTACAATTAAATGGAGCCGAGCAGCGTTTGAAAAAGCGCGATAGTAGCTAGTACGTAATAATATAATCTATCTCGGTGACAAATTTCACTTAGATCCGTTTAGTAGTTTTTACGCGAGGGGCAAACATTCATCCATCTATTCATTTTTACAAACTTTCGCGTTTATGATATTAGTATGATATTTTATTTTATTAAAGTCCAAATAAAAGTCATCTGCTTATCAATTTGCGGAATAAAACTTAATGTAGGTATGTATGTGTTATCTTCTATCGCGAAGTATCGTATAGGAAATCCGTAGTGTCAAGGATGAAATCTCTAGTGATTGCGAATTCAACAACTAATCTCGCAAACAGCTGGTACAAATGTGATAATATTACTTTATGTCGAATATCTCAAATTAAAGGGCATTAATAGGATTTTTTTATCTAAAGGCAAGTTTTATGTTTGAAAATTTAACTTATACCATGGCCTTACAGAAAACCCTCGTGGAACAACTACACCGTAATGTTTCATCGTGTGAGTGAGGTTACCAGAAGCCCAAACCTTGCCCTTTCCCGCCCCAATCGTAAAATCCCTAATCCCCAAAAAAATCCTAACGCGCTCGTAACTCCACCTGTATTCTGAACTTCGAACTCCACCTGAAATCCGCTCAGCAAGGAACATGCGAGTGAAACCACGTGTTAAGGCAACTTTAAAAACTAATCTAGTTTATTGATTTAACTGTTTCATTGAACTCTTAAAATCGTTTAACATAAGACCTTCAGTTAAAATAAACCAGTTATAAAATAACTGATCGACTTAACTTTGAATATTAATGAAGTCAAGTCTTTAGTTTCCTTGATTAAATTATTTAGTTCAATGATTTTAATAAATAATGTTTATTAAGTCTAATTAGGCTGAGTTTTAGACGCCATTCTCAGAGTCATTTAATGATTACTTAAATGAGTCAATTATTTTCGAAACAAAATTGTTACTAAGAAATTATTTAATTATCATTTAATATTTCAGGATCAGCTGGTAAAACAATTCATCTCTTTCTTGACACTATCGTATCGCAAACGCATTATATTTTTTACAAACTTAATATTTTTATGACGTATTCTGGTCGGTTATGATCGATATTGGCGAAATAGCCTAATTTTTGTTTGTCGCATGTAGCCAACCATGGCGGTCAAAAGGTTGTCAAAAGGTTAAATAATTTTTTCAAGGACTCATTTGTTTTTTTTCTTTTTTAAATACAATCTTAATGAAAGAATTCATGGAACTTGTTTAAAAAAAAGGTTTTAATACGAAATGTTTGAATTATGTACCTACTTATGGATAAATAGTTATGCTTTGGAATGGTTAACCTTAAAACTATGCCTAGCTTAGATAAGACTACGCAATTTTTTTCAAAAGTATCCAAGTATCTATTTTCGGAACGTCTTGCTTGACGACACCGAACTGAAAAATGTATTATGAACAAGCCTATAGTCAAAGCAATAAATACTTTATTACGATAGCGTTTAACGATATTTTGAAATAAATACTCCAGAGTTCAGAGTAACAATGTAGTTGTATCCGTTTAACTAATATTAATTTAGCATTTCATAAGATTATTATTGCAATTGACACTAAAGTATAAAAATGAACCTTTTTATTAGTAAATTATGTTTTGTTTTACTTTGAGTGGAATGGACCTCCATTCGACTCGCTTTTGTTTCATAAAATATTAACAATGAAATCCAAACACGATGAAGCAATGACGTCACAGGGGACACCATATTTAGTACGTAAACATTTCATGTATAAATGACAAATTATAAGTCTGAGATCGCCAATCCCCCTTGAGCAAGCGTGGTGGTGATTAATGCATAATCCTGCTTCATGTGAGAAGAGGTCTTTGCTCAGCAGTTGAAACTTTAGGCTGATGAAGATAATCACTATGTTTTATGCATATAAATATAGAAAAAAACGAATATAAATTGTCTTTTTTCATTTTGATAACGTAGAATAAACTATCTTATAAATTATACGTTAACCGAATAATATGAGACAAAATTTAAATAAACATCAATAACGGTATTTGACATTCCATTTCCATTTTATTCTTACCCGTAATCCATTTTATCTTTTTATTTTTTCTTAATCCCTTTTTAGTATAATCTTTTGTTCCTTTTTTAAACACAGATGCACCCAGCCAGTTTGCTACGGTTATTCATAAGAAACTGAGCCCATTGTGACTGTATTAAAAGATGTGTCAGGTAATTTTTACAATACAAAACTCGCTTCTTACTCACTCGGTTCGAGACAATGTAGTTCTTTTGAGGCAAAAGAAGAAAAAGAATATATTAATACGATTTTTAAGGAACATCTGCTTTATATAATACCTCATTCAAATAAGTTTTAAGGTATTTACGTGAGTGTACGTTATCGGCTATGGAATTAATAATCAATGGAAGGTATAGATTTATTTTTACCCGAATACGGCAAAGCAAAAGGAGGGTTATAATATAATAATAATTTTTTGTTGTACAGTGTTGATAAAATGTGGGTTAAAACTCGTTTAAAACGTTGTAAAGTTGTATGCATTCGTAGGAAGTTTAAATATTACCGTATGTCACAACAATGTGGTTTCATTTGTGATGTTACGTGGAATGCGTAATCCAATTAACACGAAACGTGTTTGAAAAAAAATTCTCCAAACTTAAAAAAAGGAATTATTTTAAAAATAGACACTATTATTCGTAGTGTAGTATCGACTAAAAATAAATAATCGATTAAAACGATCCGTACTAAATTAAGGTACACAGGTAACACTACTCTGGATTTCACATTCGAATTTTAAAATTTAAAAAAAGTTGAATACTTACTGAGAAACGGACAAATTGTACACCATGACCCAATTCACTGAATACCACGTTGGAATGTGTTGTATTTAACCTTTATAAAAGCACGAACTCACTTCAAAATGCACCAGATTTATACACAAATTTCTAGAATATTGTTTAAGAAGTTGTTGGAGTTAAATTGACACGGATTTTTGTACGTTATTTGGGTAAGAATGGCCGGCCGGCGAAGCGTGCGCGTCGAACTGAGGCAGAATGTCTAGCGGGCTCGGCACTGCATTGGTTCGAAGCGGCCTGGCTCGTCACACGAACGTCATTTTTATCGCGCCACGCGCTTACGCCGTTTCCCTCTCCAATCGTTTGCATCGCTTGCTTTGCCTACACGTCTGTTTCTGTTAACGCCCCATTGACATGTGAGCAAGTATAAAAAGCAATGGTTAGCACAATTAAAAAATTTACATTTTTCATTTTTATTTCATAGTCAGTACGTGCAATGTGCGCTTATGTTTAATGCATTTGATGCAGCATAATCTCATCCAGTGTTAGCATTAACGAGAGAAATATCGATTATCTTTGTAATTTCGATTTTAGTATCGATTCAATATCGAGTGTAAGTCTAAGTGACGTTGACCCCATTAGATATTTTTAGGCGTCTCGATAGCGTGATTCTCGCGTGATCGTGTGTGTACGAAAACCATGCTGGGAAATTGTTTAAGCTATTTTGTTCTTTAGTACTTTCAAAATAGGGTTGATTATGTTAAAAGTTTTTGAATCAGCTGTTGTTGAATCGGTAGTTCTGTTCACACGTGGCGTGGAGTAGCTTCGATCATACAATGTATTTGTAAAATATGCATATAAGTTGATAACGTAATATTTAAAATTACTCCTAAAATGTACATGTTTTAATTGCATGCTAACTATTGTTATATTAGGTAATAATACTACTAAAATACTTGTAGATTGTGAGTTTTTTTTATACTTGGCTGTGATCATTCTGAATTTCGTTTTTACTGATAGTGTCTTAATTTTAATATATTTTGATTTATTTCTAGAATCTTCTATCTGTATGTCTCAAAATTAACTTGAGCCCTGCGCAACGTGTCTTCTCTTCTATTCTAAAATTCAAAAGTTTGTAAGTGTGAATGGGTGTAGGTATGTTTGTTACTCTCTTACGTCAAAACTACTGAATGGATTTCGATGAAAATTGACACAAATGTAGATTGTAGTGTGAAATAAGACATAGGTAGGCTATTTTACCCAAACAAGCTTTTTTTCGAAAAACCTTAACTATTAATTCTCAAATTTTCTAGCAACTTAGTTAGGTACCTACTTATTAATATCAATATTCTTAATTGATTGCTTTAAAGCAGTGCTGCAAATTACCTATTATCTTAATAAAATTATCATTTGTGTTACAATCGGCACAATTGTTAATTTTGAGTTGCCGGTAATGACATCGTTAATTTATAATCTATTAATATCAATATGAAGAATCACCCGAGTAACGTGGGCGAAGCCGCTGACAGAAGCTCTATCCCGTTATCAATCATTGACTTTCCTATCGCCACTGATCTATCAAACACATTTCATTCCTTCTTCTCGCCCTCAAGCCCTCAACTCATAATATCCTCATTAGTTTTTAGTACCAACTTGATTTACAAATTAACATAGAAACAACTAAAGTATGACAATGTTAGCGCGATCACAACTTCATAGCTCAAAAACACCTGAACAGATTTCGATGCACATAGATTTCGAGATAGCTGATCATGTGTTGTTCCTTTAGGTTGGTAAGACATTGTTATTTCAGTATTTTTAGTATGTTCTATTTCACCACCGTCATGTAAGTAACTTTATGTACTTAGCTACCTACCCACCCTATATGTATACATACCTTAATCAACTTATGTGGCACATAGCTCATGCATTTTATATATTCAAATTTATCTCGTACAAACTACGAGTAGTAGGTAACTATCCAGCGACGATCAAGCCAAAACACGATAAAGCTAAGGATCTCTAACATAGGTGTGTTTATCCAAACTAATATTATAAATGCGAAAGTAACTCTGTCTGTCTATCTGTCTTTTCTTCACGCCTAAAGTTCTGAACCTATTTGTGTGAAATCTCTGTCTGTCTATCTGTCTTTTCTTCACGCCTAAAGTTCTGAACCTATTTGTACAGACATAGTTTGAAACTCGAGAAAGGATATACAATAGTTTTTAAACCAAACATCTGCAGGAAGTCAGCAGTATACGCGAACAAAGTCGCGGGCAAAAGCTACTTAATGAATGAATCTGATTGTACCTACTGAATTTCCAATACATGGTATATAGGTATGTACTTCGAACATTCTTTAAAATGAAAAGTCATAAAAATCATAAATGGAATAATTTGTATAGGTATTAAACTTTACGAGGGAAAGCGTAAGTTTATTATTTTGCCTGTGAGCTTTCTAGAACGTCTGTACTGTATACCTATTCTGTTTGAAGTTAGCTGCAACAAGGGAATGTCACAAACTTGTCACACACTTCATGGCTGTTCTAAAGTTTGATATTACATAATTATATTTATTATATTTGTGTCCCTACGTATACATATACATAACTAATAATACCTGTATAGAATTAAGTTTATAAATAGAACCATTTTATGCCCCATGTAGGTAATATTGTGGTTGTGGTTTTTAAGATAACGTGTGGTAGTTATTGCATGTGTGGGTTGTAATTCTGTTGTCATTGTCAGTTCGAATTTTAATTTTGATTGTGGTTACTATGTGTATGAATTACTAGCTACTCTCACGCGATTTTACCCGCTGCTCGGCTCCATTTAATCGTAGCGTGATGTCTTATAGCCTATAGCACTCAGGAACATTGTAGCTATCTATCAGAATTTTGGCAGCGGTTCCAAAGATACATCCCTACAGACAAACTTACAAACATACAACACAAGTACAAGTATACATGAAAAACCCACCACTTAATATTATTAGTAATATGTTTCAAAATTATGGGAAAACCGTGCTTCGGCACGAATAGCCCTAGCTAGACCGGAGTGACACCGCGGCCTTATAGAATGCCGGTGTTAAAAGTTTGAAATCGCCAAACCGCTTTTAGAAAGTGTGGTGATTAGTAGAGCTCAAAGACCTTTGCTCAACATTGGGCACTTATAGGCTGATAATGACATTAAAAAAATAGATATACAAAACTCAGTCTTAATTCGGATATCCCTTGAAAGAAATCGGATGACGGATAACGGGTAAAGTGTGCGAAAAGTACAAAAGAAATTGTTCTACGAAAATGAGGAATCATAAATTCTCGGATTCGGATCGGATGTAGTGCGGAAGCGCACTTAGTCTAGACTGATTACGTCTGACCAAACAGGTTGAGTCACTAAGTAAAGATCGCATTTCTTATCTCAAGTCATTGACCTGTTAATTGAGAATGTAGTACAATAGATAAGTCTGATATTAATTTACTGATATTAAAAGGCTTTTTATGTTTTCGCATTATAGAGACTTCAAAATGTTTCCAACTTTTCAAGGTTTGCTAAAATATCGTAACGCCTTCAAAATAGCCCCAAATGACCAACAAAACTACACCTATATCGTAAAACATAAGACTTACTTACTTACATAGAATATTCGAGAAAGTCTCGACTGGATTCAAGTTACGATGGGACTCTTATTCATGAGTAGAGTGGGCTTCGCGGCGATGTCTCGCCGCTGACTGGTAAGAAATTACATAATCTGCAGCTAAGCAAGGAGCAGGATATAGAGCTTTTTTCAATTAATTGAAGTTAATAAATCGATATTTTGTATAAATTTAGCACTTCTTACAAACTACAAGAACACTATAAAATAATGAATTACGTTTCTACACGAACAATGATAAAATTATGTCATCTATTCTATAATGAGAGACAATATAACATACCAGTCATATACATAAATACACATATTGTGGTACCAATTATTTATACAACGGAGCGTCACATAATTACCATTTACCCACCATCACTACATAAGCACATCTGCGTTTAAATAATATTTTGCCACGAGTGCTGACGCCCTTCGCAAATAGACCCAGTCAAGTGGATCTTGTTCATTAATGAGTCATGTTTTTGTAAATTTCATGATTTTTTAAATATCAGCAGTTTTTTTTAGTCAGGAGAAAATCATCAAGTGACTTCTCCCGCCCAGGGTAAGGCGAGAGAGGTTGTCAGACTCAGTGACTAGAAGCCCTCCGTTCCTTCTCCTGCTATAGGCCGAGGCCGTGGTGGCACATTGCGCTTACCCCGCAACCCCGGCTGAACTTCAGTCCAGGCCCCGTCTGTGGTGAGGTTTTGTGAGGCGCTCTCGGAACGCTATGCGCCGTACGCTCTGGTTTGGTTCTGATCGGGCGGCGATCTATGCTCGCTTGCTATCCGTAGACTAATGCTCATGGTACTCAGAGCTCCTCGCAAACTTCGGCACCCAAAGCGTTTCTTGCGGGAGCTGGGCTCTTTACACGACTGTTTCGCAGAAGGAACCTTCCATTTCATCTCACTATGTACCCTAAATTGAATCAAAGACTACAATTTTTTTTTCATATTTTTCAGAAGACTTCATTTATGTTTTCAGCTTTAGCGTGGGCTTAATCGTATCCTCTTTTAAATCTAGATCTAGGGAATAAGAATACAACCTACAAATGCCTATCAGAAGTAAATTTAATTAGAACGAGTTCGGTTTATTAATCAAGTATGTAGAGTATTGTACAGGCCGAATGTGTGCTAATAGATTCTTAATGATCTTTGTAATTATTATTCAAGGTCATCGTACCAACAAACCAACCTTAATTGGAACAATTGACTGATTATATAAGTGTATTGTTACCTGAATTAACATAAAGTAAAATTTGTTTTATTACATAAATGAAATAATATTGGCCTGAGTTTTGTTCCTAAAGTTTCCGAACGCTAGTTCTTCCAAGTTTTACTAGGTTTTTGGCACGATAGCAAAGAGGAATGTTTCGGTTTTTTGAATTTCAAATATATTAATAGAGTTCGATTTTCAAAAATAAAAAAACCTAAGACAAGGTAGGTAGTTGAGAATCTGGAATTAAGCCTAATTCTATAGATTTATGTTATAAATCTATGCCCTATTCAACGCCTTAACAATATAAACAAACAAACAAACAACCATTTTTGTAATTCCGTTGGGGAACAAAAAATAGCGCTATGATTTCTTCAGACAAGAATGAACTAAATTTGCATTACACAAACGTTCCATAAAAATAATATTTATACATTAAATCTCTGATATTTTTTGATATAAAAAAGCCTAAATGTTTACTAGCTCAGCTTAGCAGCGCCTTAATTTTTTTCGGAGCAATACGTAGATATACATTTTGATATATAATAAATATACCGGATACCGGTAATAAAATACTCATATTGACATAAATACTGTATTTTAGATGCTAAAATATTGTTAGAAATAAAAAATGAATGAATTTTTGTTTTTATTAAAACCTAAACCTAATCACGAATAATGAAGTCACCGACAAAAGTAAACGGCAGCTTCTGTAGGTCCTGCTTCGGATCCGGCGGGAGAAAACGCCCGAGTGTCGTCATTGTGAGGACCACCTAGAGGACAAGGTGGAGCATAGGGTGGTGGCGTGCCCTGTTTGGGCTGAGCACCGCCGTGTCTTCAGGGAATTGATCAACGGCGGCGACCTCTCGCGCCCGGCCTTAGTCAAGCCCATGGTGCGGAGCGAGAGGAACTGGGACGCTGTCTCCTCTTTCTGTAAAGCAGTTATGCTCGCAAAGAACGAGACGGACCGCGTGCGAAAGCTATGCTCCTCCTGATTTGCCGCTATTTCTCGCTGAATGAATTTTTTTTTTGTTGGCAAAGACTCGCTTTAAAGAGTTGCTATGAAATAATAACTAGGCGCTTACGTGGTGGTAATTTAGAAAAATGGTTTTTATAATTTTTTAAAAGGGATTGTCAACATTATTATTGAGCGCGGTAATATTATTTAAGAGTGATAAATTAGGTAATTCATTATAAGTTTATAAATAATTAGTAGCATGGTTAGTCTTTTAAGGTGTCAAAATATATAAAAAAAACAGTTTGTATTTACAGCGTTTTATTTATGGATTAATTTGTACCTTTCTTCTATTATACAGATATGTAAAAAATATATGGCCTGATCTTAATAGTATAGTAGTTTACATAAAAAACAAAATAAATGATGATAACATCTGAAATAGTTTAAATATACCTACATAATATTATTAATGGTACAAATACAGATTTTAATAAGAATACTTAGCAGTTTATCCAAAAATAAATATGTTTTTTATAATTTAAACTAAGTATTATTATTGGAAGCGAATGTTTCTTGCTTATGGATATTGTACTTAAATATTTTTCTATATATAGTAACGAAATTTCTTGAAAATAACGTGGCGATGTCGCGTAGCCACTGCATGTCTGACAGCGCGACGTCGCCGCATCGCAAACACAGCTCACGAATGAATAACAGTCCCGTTGCAACTTGAAGCTAGTAGAACTTTTCTTAGTAAAATCACGTGCGTATAGGTACCGTTATATTAAAAAAAAACCAAAAAATATTGTTTTGTGCTTTAAATTAGGACTCTTTTCTATTAAGCATACGATTTATATTATAATATGCAATAATTATGTTATATATTATATTATATAATAATTTTTAAGGTTGAAAACACTTCACACTCACACATATACACAGACATTCGAGAAAATATTACAAAGGATTTTGTATGAAACAAACTTATTTAGTCAATTTCAATTTTTAAAATGAATTATACAACTAATGACAGGTCCACGGCGCATTTTTAAAGTAACCTCAAAAAATATATATGTATAAACACTTTTCTTAAGAAGTTTAAGAAAAATATATTGGCAAAAATATATTATATTCACTTAGTCACAATCTTTGAGTTTTAAATGTAACAGAAATTTGTAGCCATTTTGATACTTTGTGCGTAATATAGACGTAAAATGTTTGAATAGTTAAATATAGTGAGACATACTTATGCCCGGTTTCCGAAAGCCCGATCAATGTTAAAATCAACTAACTAGGTGTCAAATCTCTTGTCAAGTCTTCTGATTGGTTGTTGATAATTCAGTCAACCAATCAGATGACTTGACAAGAGATTAAATTGATTTTAACATTGATCGGTCTTTCGGAAACGGGGTGACAGATTCAAAATAAATTGAAAATAACGACTTATTCACGAATTGCTCATGAATAAGAGTCCCGGTGTGACTCAAAACTAGTCGAGCCTTTCTCACCTGATTCACGTAAGTCGCTGTCTTCAATAAACGTTAAAATCAACTGAAATACAATCTTACATATTTTTTTATAACTTATTACATTTTACAACTATCTAGGACTAAGATAAAAAAATTGCGCTTAAGTTTTAATTGAAACAAAAGTTATTTTGAAAATAGGATGGAATCCTCCTAGATATGGAATAGGAGGCAAACGAGCAGACAGATCATCTGATCGTAAGTGATAAGCTCTCATGGACAGCCTGTGCCTCCCCTGTTGTCCCAACAGGGGAGGCACAGGCGACATTCTGGGCGGCGGGGATCGAGAGACGATCTACGGCCACCGTAAGCGCGGGTCTGCGTACGGCGTGTAGCATTCCGCGCGCGCCCAACGAGCCAATCGGGGCAATACAGACGAGGTCCTACAGGGCTGATTGAGCTGACTGAGCCGGGGTTGCGGGGCAAGCGTGATGACCGCACCGCTGCCTCAGCCTAAAGCAGGAGAAGGAAGGAAAGGTGTTTTTATTTTAGTCAGTAAGAGTCTGACACTCTGTATCGCCTCAACCTGGGCGGGAGAAATCATTTGAGGTTTACCTTGACAGAACAAGGGGAGGCACAGGCATGTTTGAAGGTCGTATCGCTTTGGAAATATCACCGCTAAAAGATCATTCCAAATATTTGCTGTGCGCGGCAGAACTTTCGGAAACGGACTAATAAACTTAGAGGTCACTGTATCTTTTACAGGGGTCGATAAATTTATAATTAGGTGGAAAAACCTTGTCAGTTTATTCTGCAGTGGTATATTAACGAAAGACCACACCAGGTTAAGTGGACCCGTTCTAGTTTAAGCTTGTACCTATATTTTTGGTGAATAGCATTACAGAAATAATTCTCTCTCTTTCTTAAAGTATATATAGTTAAAAGCGAGACGATATATACAATTATTTTATAAGATACAATTTTTTTTTCCAGAACTTGAAATATCAATTGTTTTAATTGTTCGTTAATATTTATGATCCATAGTATCATACCAATATTTGGTCCGTAATTCTTTGTAGAAGAAAAATACAACGTTTTTCTAATTAAGGCCTGAATATGCGTTATTAAGTAGACGTTTGGCAGTCCCTCTTCTGGGTGAGAGAAGTCATTTGATAATTTTCCTCATAAAAAAGCTATGTTGTAATTCCTGATAAATGCTTCAAACTATCAAAAGTCAATTGAAATTTCAAGTTCTCTTTACTTAATGGTAATTGGGTAATGGGTTTTCGCTAGAAACACAACCTTTTTTAAATTAAGAATCGTTTTTCCGACGTTTGGTTTTTGTTAAACGCTCAGCTTCTTCGATGGAGTCCGGTAGAGGTATGTTGATAGTCTCTGGCATTGTGAAGACTAAAAGACCAGCGATGATGGCCATCGTGCCGAAAAATATTGATGGCAAGTTTTCGTAGTACAAAGCCTGTGAAAACATAATAAATATCAGAAAAAGATGGAATTAACATTAAAATGAGGATGGAGAATACCTTATATCATAAATATACTGAAAAGTTCAAAGACCAAAATCCAAGTATAATTTGGGCCTGATAAAAAAGCTGACTGCACGGTTGGCGCGGTGGCTGCCGTGCTAAATAACGTGTCGCGGGCTCGATTTTCGCACGGAAAAACTCTTAGTGTGATCAATAAATCTTTTCTGGTTTGATTCTGGTTCTGGGTTGATTGTATGTTGCCCTGTATTATGGGGCAACGTTTAAATTTTATTTTTAAGACTAGTACGCCTACGAATCAAGATCTAGAATTAAAAGACAACCAATCGAGCACTTACCAACAACGGAGTCAAAGGCGCTAATGTTGATCCGACCCTTCCGGCACAAGAACAGGCGCCTAGGAGCGACTGTCTCACATTGGTAGGGAAGACTTCAGATACATAAACGTAGACGGTACTGTAGGCCACCGTGATGGAGTACTTCCCAGCCAAGTAGACCACCAAAGACCACCACCTTTGATCTGTTAAACAAATAAAATAAAGAATGATCCTGAATCTTCTGCATTTGTGGATATAGTAAACGAGGTTCTTTGAGACACGAATGTAATTCTTGTAAGGAAAGATTTGAAAGACAAGTTCGTTATAATCCTCATCAGCCTATAAGCCTATAAGTGCCCACTGTTGAGCAAAAGCCTCTTACACGGAGAAGGTTTGAGCATTGGTCACTACGCTTGCTCAAGGCGGATTGGCGATTTGAAACTTATAATTAGACGAATTAAGAGATGGTAGTGGTGTCTACATTTAATCCTCAAATCAATACCACATAGATTATCAAACTTCACCAACACAAATCAAAGATCACGATATTTACTTTCCGATTCCTAAAATCGAAATTCGAATTAATCCTTACAAAACAGACGATTTTGAAAACTTTAAATTTAATAAAACCGCGAAAATTATTTATGTTTCACTATTGCCGTTTTGCGTCGTCGGCTCTGAAATCGGTTTAACTTGAATATTCCATTAATTCAGGCTGTTATACAAGCAGTGATTACTAAATAAACAGTGCTAGAGCAAAATTCTCTCAAAACTCTCATCTGAGTTGGTTTCCACTATCCTACGTTTATCGGGTCCCCAAACTTTGATCCTAGGACATGTGTTGCCTGAGTAAAATCAAATTTTGGACATAACATTGTTAGGCCATCCACTGGATACTTCGATCGATCGCTGTAACAAGAATTCCTTAGAAGATATTGCCATAAACCAGAGCCCTTGCTCCATATTGCTTCCTTCCTACTATACAATAGGTCCGTTAAAATATGTTGACGAAACACAATGGGAACAGCTTACGCCTCGTAAACTGTTACAGGATTATCTAACTCGCCTTTTGTTCCCGCCAAATTATGTTTGTTCGTTTGATTGTAAGAGAAGTAATTGTGAACACAAACTACAACTCGTTTGGTTATAAAATTCTCGTTAATGCTACGTTTAGACGGATAAGAATAAAATTCGTTTGATGCTTCGAAAATGGCAATGAAAACTGTTGAAGATTTGATTCAATATAAAAATGAACAAGAGGTTTCTGAAAAGAACATTTCAACAAAGGTATTTTTTGTATTGAATTAAACTCACCTTTAGGTAGGAATGATAAGCCGATACAAAGTATAGCACTTAGAATGTAAACTATAATTAAGACCTTCTTTCTTCCAAATTTATCCAGAACAACGACACACGTAAAGTTGGCTGGAATTTCAATGAAGGCCACGAGCATAAAGTTGATATATTGATTCCCTGCCAGCGATACTGAGTTAATTGACAGGCCATAATACACAAACGTACAGGTGATCCATAAAAAGGAACACGTCAATAATCTCCTTCTAATAATACTTGATCCTATGACTTGTAGAAATAGTGATTTCTTTGGTTGATTGACCAGCTCGTCCTTTCTTTCTGTCGGTTTAGATTGCATCTCTTGAAGAGGGGCTAGAGCTTGATCTGATATTTGAACTTTATTCATTTTGGCTGCTTTTTTGATGACACCTATGGCTTTATCATGTCGACCTTTCTGGAGCAGCCATCTGACACTTTCATTTAAGATCCACATGTAGCTGAATATTAAGCAGGATGGCGCGTATATCATTCTGAGAAGTTTCCGCCAGTCCTGCAGTATCCAGGATAATCCAGAGAGTGACATTAAACCAAACACATAAAATACGTTTATGATTGTGTTACCAAACACTCTGCCTTGAGGTCCCACGAGTTCCATAGCTGTAAAAGATTTATTCGTTAATGAAAAAGTTATTAAGGATATCATGGCGTATGATAAACCAAGTGGTGGTCAAGTAGTTGGAGGATGGGCAGTGACGCTAAGTTTTGTGACCAATCAAAAGGAATAGACTTGTTTTATTGGAAGAAGTTAGTCATATAAAATGTTTGTTTAACTCTATGAAAAAGTACAGAATTCATAGAATATTGTATGAAGTGTTTGGAAAATTGCTCACTGCTTTATTTGCAAACATAACTGTAAAGCCTTGACATTACTCCGGTTCAACCAGTCCATTCGTGCATGGCTCTCTCACACTTATTATTGACTTAACGAGGATTCATTAAATCACTATAAGTTGCTTTGAAAACATTCTTACCAAAAACGAAGGCAGTCGTATAAGCGCCGGCTCCAAACCCTGCCTCCATGAACTCGAAAATCACAAACATCACGTAATTGGTAGAAAATGATCTTGTCAATCCAAATATGCAGTTCATGAGGGCCGCAAAGGACAGGGCCTTTTTCCGTCCGAATCTATCTGAAATTATTCCCGTCATTGGAAGGGCGAGGAAGAAGCCGGAATTATGGATCGTCCCTACTAAAGTTCTCTTCCAATTTTGGCAACCGAGGTCGAACTGAAACAAAAAAGTAATACTGCAGAAAAACAATAATCTAAGTATAGTTTTCGACATCAATTTCATGAATATATTCCGTAATTATATATAACTAGCTTCCGCTAGCGGCTTCGCCCGCGTAGTATGTTAATAAAAAGCCCATGTCCTATTCCGAAGTGTATCCTATGCCCGTGCCAGACTTCATACAGATCCATCCAGCCGTTTTGGCTTGATTGAGTAACAAACATTCAAACATCGTAACTTTCTCATTTATGATATTAGTAAGATAAGATCATTGTTAGTATTCATGAAATTGAGATTGATATGGGAACCGAACGTCTATCTCCGGCCATTGTATTGCCGGATCAGAACCAGACCTGTGCGTACGGCGCTTAGCGTACCGCCTGCGCCTTTAAGAGCTATCAGTAGACCACCAGAGATTGGGCCCAACAGAGTCGATTTTCAGCCAGGGTTGTGGGTCAAGCGTAATAAGGGCTCAAAAACTAACACCAATTGCATTTTTCCAACTTATATTTGTACTTTCTATGATAATTTATACATCACCACCTGGATTTATAAGCGCTAATTATGAGTGTAGGGGAGCCAAGCTTCGGCACGAATGGGTCAGCTTGACCGGAGTGATACCACGGCCTCACAGAAAAGCGGCGTGAACTAACCACAGCGTTGTGTTTCGCCGTGTGAGCGAGGTTTCCGGAGGCCCAATTCTTCCCTTCTCCAAATCCCTTTTCAATCCCTAAATCTCTAAAACCCAAATCCCTAAAAGGTCGGCAACGCTCTCGTAACTCCTCCGCTGCGGGTGTCCATGAGTAGCGCTGAATGCTTACCATCAGGTTATCCGCCTGCTCGTTTGCCGACCTATTACATAAAAAAAAATAGTTTGAAATCGTCAATCCGCCTTAAGCTTAGTAATGTTCATTCATTAACTCACAACTCCATTTGACACTTTTGCTCAGCAGAGGGCATTGGTGTGTAAGGGCATTGGCTTGGTTGTGTAATAAACATATTTTCAACCTTATCACCTCTTCTACAAGCTTTATTTTCGTGCCAAAACAGGTAGATAGGCCGCCTTATTGTAAACAAATCACATCATACTATCTCTTTATCAGTACTACCAATGGTGTGATCATCATACGATATCCACAGCTTAAAATCCGGGTCAATATTTCACAGATACGTTACGTCATAATCAGGCGACACTCCCCACTATCAATGAATGTGTAGCTACATTCATCATTCGGCACACACGTGCTGCTACAAAATAAAGGAGATAAACGATGTCCGGACATAAATATTATAATATTTTTTTATGTGGTAGTACGGCAACCGGCCAGACAGATTAGGTACCTAATGATAACAGCAAAAACGAAGGAGTTAAGAGTACGTTGCTGACCTTTTGGGGATTAGAGGAGCGCCTCCTGTAACTTCACCCACACGGCGAAACACTACGGTTGTGTCACGCCGGTTGTCTTTGAGGGCCGTGGTATCACTCCGATGGAGTTGACCCATTCGTGCCGAAGCATGGCTTCCCCACATTTATTCAGTACGTATTTATTACGACGTATTGTCAGTACAGTAAACCATTATTATTGACAGTCAACAGTCAAGACAACAGTGACATGCATTTTATTCTTTACAAGCTATTATTTAATTTGCTATGTAATTTATTATCGTGTTGGAAAAGTCATCTAATGACTTTCGCTCTCTGGGTGAAGCGACAACAAGTGAGTAAGGCGGGAGTGACGGACTCTTACTGTCTAAAACCGCCCCGATCCCGACCGACTATAAATGCTAAGCTGCATGACTTTACTATGAGTTCATAGAAATGTGTCTTTGGCTGTTGTTGTGCTGAAATAGTAGTTTTAGAGACTAGAGCGCTCAAAGAGATACACAAATAAAACTCTTCAGCTTTATTAATAACTAGCTTCTTACCCTCGGCGTCGCTCCCGTCATTTGACTACCTACCCTACTCTACCTACCCTACTCTACCTAACCTACACTACCTACTCTATCCTATCCTATGTCCTTCTCCCAGTTCTTAGCTATCTCCCTACGAATTTTCAGCTAAATCAGTTCAGCCCTTCTTGAGTTTAAGTGGAGTAACTAAATCGACTTTCTTTTTTAATGTTTATATCTATACTAATTTGTAATGTGTGCAACCGCTGGTCGGATAGCCAAAATTCTTTCACTGGTAGATAGCTACAATGTTCCTGAGTGCTATAAAATAAGGGCTATAAAACATCACGCTACGATCAAATGGAACTGAGCAGCGGGTGAAACCGCGGGAGAGTAGTTAGTAGAAGATAAGTACAGGTAATTTAAAAGTACTCACGTCTCTCACAACCGAATCATCATCACTGTACACGTAGGAGGAACATTTCACTTTTGAATTTGAATCAAAATTTTCAGCTGTACAAGCACCGTTGCCACCAGTATCCTTAAACGCATATTGAAAACATTTTGAATATTTCCCCTTTTCCTTAGGTATCGCGTATTCTAGCCATAAGCTTGTGTTCATACCTTCGCATTGTTTGACTTCACATCTGAAACAATAAAAACACAATATTAAGTGGTATATTTTACAATTTTGTTTCGTCGTGTGAATGAGTTTACCGGAGTCCTAATCCTTTTTTTTCTCCTCCAATCCCTTAATCTCCGAAACACTTATAAAGGACGGCAATGCACACGTAATTAGTAGAATAGTTTACCGTCCCATAATACAAACATAATATTTTATAAAAAAATATTTGTTCCAAGATTGTTAAACTATCTATATCTACTAATATTATAAAGAGGTAAAATTTGTAAGTTTGTATGTAGGGGGTAATCTTTGGAACCGCTGGTCGGATTGCCAAAATTCTTTCACTGTTAGATAGCTACAATGTTCCTGAGTGCTATAGGCTATAAAACATCACGCTACGATCAAATGGAGCTGAGCAGCGGGGGAAACCGCGCGAGGGTAGCTAGCAGTTAATAATCTAAACCAATATCGGGGTATCTCCTGAAACTTCCTGAAGCATCTGTGTTATACTTCATGACATCTCTAGAGCCACTCGTCAAAGAAAGGTTTTACTGCTACGAGGCCGATGTGTGCCCTTAATCGATTCTTACGTTATCAGCGAAATATATGCGGTATACAATTCTAATGTAGCCACAAGGCTAGTTGCACAGCTATGGCCATGGTGCGGAAATAGGCACTGGGAAGCCGTCTCCTCTTTCTGCTAAGCAGGAATACTCGCAAAGAAGGAGACGAGGCACGTGAGGGAGCTATCCTCCTCACGTCCCAGCCGCCGCAGTTGGTGATACTCCGGGCGTCATCGAGATCGAGAGATGATCTCCGGCCACTGTAAGCGCGGTTCTGCGGACGGCGAGTAAGGGTAGCTCACCGTCCCACACGCGCCTCAAAGAGCCAATAGACCATTACAAACGGGGCTGATGTTTAGCTGTGGTTGCGGGGTAAGCGAAACCCTCTCCTGGGCAAAAAAGGGTAGATACAAAAATCCTTTTTTTAATAATATTAAAAGCATAAACTGTTGATTACTTTTAGTAATCGAATGTCTCAATGCAGTAGATAATGATCATCGTTGATTCAAACCCAGATAGGTCGATTACCGATTGAGTAATCAATCAGAATCGGATCGTTGATTCCGATCATGGATAGTAATCGATTGATCAATTATGTACTCGACTTACTAGGGATTATGAAAACCATTAAAACAAATGAAATTCAAAAATTCAATAAGGTTTGAAACTATTGATGAATCATGGGATCAAATAATATGTGAAATTAAATACCCAAATGGATTTCATCGTTATAATTACCCTACATTAATATTGTTTACCATGCTTTGGAAACTGATTGATAAATAATATTTGCTTTGATATATCGGCTAATAACGATCATGGATTAATTCGGTACTATTTTAAATTCAGTATGGTATTACACTGCTAATATTTTGAGTGGGAAATTCTGTAAGTACGGATGTATGTTTGTTACTCATTTGAGTAAGATCTAATTAACGGATCTAAATTAAATTTGGCATAGATATAGACATAGATAGACATAGATATAGATAGACATATTAGACAATTTTACTCTAAAAATTGCACTAAATATTGTAACTTTTCATTAACCATTTAAACTATAACTGTAATTAAGTGCGGGAGAGCCATGCTTCGGCACGAATGCACCGGCTCGACTGAAGTGATACCACGGTCTCACAGTAAACCCGTGTGAGGTAATATTTACTTTGTGTATCGCCATGTCAGTGAGGCTACCGGAGACCAAATCCTATCTCATCTACTCCTATCTTCTATCCTCAATTATCCTAACCTCACTCAGGCGACGCACTTATAGTAAATTCTTTATTATTACAAGTGTCCATGGGCGGCGCTGATTGCTTCCCATCAGGTAATCCGTCAGATCGTTTGCCGTCGTCCTATCATATAAACTCAGAATACAGAGTTCTGTATTCTGAGCATATAAAAAAACCCAAGACACAGAAGAAAATACCAGTGCGAGGCGGTTTAAAAAAATAAGTGAAATTTCATCTGATTCTAGTAGTTGGGCAAAAGAGCTTGCTCCAATAAAAGTAGATTCACGAATCAATCTCCAAATCATTGACAATACGATTAGATGTCACTCCCAATTCCCAGCTTGACAACAGAGAATATTGAATAAAACCTAATTGAGACATTCCTTCCCTATAAATATAACAATCTATTTTACAGACATATTTAATGTATTATACCAACATATAATTATATCAATCATAACCATTAAAAAAAGAATTTAGAATTCATTTGTTTAAATTGGATCCCTCATTGGGTAGCATGCATAGCATGGTCTCAAGTACAGCTATGATTGTTAAGGGTTCCCATACTACAAAGTCTCTGTCATAAGTTCCTTACCTTACATCTTTGAAAAAATCATGAGGGTTAATTTGCAAAGAAAACCATAAAGGCTACCGTTGTTTAGTTCATCTGATTGCACTAATACAGCCAGAGGAGTTACGTTGGCAGCCTTTTGGGGATTAGTGTTACGGCAATGTGGGGATTGAGAAGGGATGGGGGATGAGAAGGATTGGGTCTCCGGTAACCTCACTTATGGTATGGTATACATGGTGGAACACAACGCTGTTGTTTTTCACCGTTTCTCACTGGTTTTCAGTGAGGCTTTTGTATCACTCGGATGGAGGCGACCTATTCGTGGCAAAGCTTGGCTTCTAGACTTTATAGAGTTTATCACTAGCCAGTAGTTTCTAAATTCTTAATAAAATTTGTTTTTTAAAAAACGTAGTGTTCTGCTATTTAATCAACATACTGTAGATACACTTCTCTGTTTATAGTGTATGTATACATATGTATTGTGTTATTTGTAAGGTGAATGAACTTTAACTAACATTACAGATGTTTGAATAAGGCAGTGGCCATAATATTAAAAATTGATTAAAATAACATGAAGTCTGTAATTGTATTTAAGGATTCTTATATTCGTAATACATGGTTGATGCGCCCAATGCCGAGCAAAGTATTAATCACTAGGCGGAATGGCGACTCCAAACTTATAATTAGAAATTATTAGACCAGGATTCCTGGTCGCGTTTTCCTTCACGTGTCAGTGGTGTCGAAATATACTAAGAAAGTACATATATCTTGAAGGAGCCACATTCGGGGCCCTACAGGGCCAAATGTTCAGCCGGGGTTGCAGGGCTAGCGCAAGGTACTGCGGCCACGGCCTAAAGCAGGAGAAGGAACGGGGGCCTTTTTAGTCAGTTAGAGTCTGTCTTTTCCTCTCGCCTCACCCTGGGCGAGGGAGCACCCGCTTTTCATACACAATGGCAAGTACCAATGGGACTTTTTCTTTATTGCAGTAAAATGTCGAGAGGAAACTGGAGCTAGGTGATTAATGCTCAAACCTTCTTCGTGTGAGAAGAGGCCTTTGCTCAGCAGTGAGCACTTGTTGGCTGATGATGTAATGTGAAGCAGACGCAAAACAAAGAGACAATTTCGAAAATAGCTAACCATCAATAAACAATTTTTGATTAAAAATATCACGTCATCGATTTACGAACACCTTCAGAAAATACTTAGAATAATTGAAGTCTAAGTTATCGTTCATCAAAATGATACTCAATCACTTAGTGAAAAATATCTGTCTGTCGGTCGGGACGTACCTAATGATAATTAATAACAGTCGTTTATGATTGATTGCTGATCGCCCAGCTGTTTCTGATGGCATCTTAGCGGTGTAAGATTTGGAGGATGGTCGAAGATGGAGGCGAGAGAGGATAGCTGAGATTTTCTTATAATTGAAAATATTTCTTTGTTTTAAAATTTTATATTGTACTAGCTCTGACGCGGTTTCACTTGCCGTTCAGCTCCTAAAGATCATAGCAAGAGTTTTTATAGCCTACAGCCTCCCTCAATAAATGGACTAACAAACACAAAAAGAAATGTTCAATCCGAACCAGTAGTTAGCGCGTTCAAACAAACAAACAAACAAACAAACAAAGCTTTAAGCTTTATAATATTAGAATAGATGGGATATGCTCAAAATAAGAGGACGAATAATCACGAGTAAATATAGATAGATTTCAAAAACAGAATATAAATTAAAAGAAATAAGAACAGAGCAATTTTGGTCATGCAGTTGATGAGAACTATGTATCTCCCGATTCACATAAGAAAAACAAAAATTGTTGAAGGAATAAAAAAAGTCAATAAAGTAGAAGAATACAATGAACATAATTGTTGTGAGGCATTCCTACTAAATTAATTGTCGATATACTAAGTTTCAGGCGGTTGCGCGAATACGCCGAGACTTATACGCTGCTCATGAATAAGAATCCCGCTGTGACTTGAAACCAGTAGAGCTTTGCACAGTTAATTCACGTGAGTAAGTTGATATCTTTACATAGTATGAACCGAAGTAGCTTTCTCTGTATCCGTAAGTAGGTATGTTTTAATCTTTACAACTTCGCATCCGATTTTGATGCGGCTTTTTTGACAGATAGAGTGATTAAAGAGCAATTTTTGTATGTGTAATAATATCCACTAACTATTAGAGAATTTTAGTACCTATCGGCATTGCATCTCTAAGAAACATTCGCTAGATTTAAATAACAAAAATATATTAAATACGTTTGCTTTCCAATAAAAAAAAAATATGCGAATCGTCCGGTACAATTGTACACACATCCTCACAAAAAGAGACGCGCCACAACACGCGAAATGTCCTATCATTTTACATCTTTGTACAAGATCCAAGGTCTTCATCACACGAGCTGGTGTTCCCCACGTGTTTGATAACTGACCGGCCTAGCCTACATCCCGGTTGAGATACCATATCTGCAGTCGTATGATGATAACAAACTTAGAATATTTTTGACAGTCGCATAAAGTTGGTAGCGACATCTAGTTATCAAGTACGGAACTAAAATGTGCAAAATTTGCTGAGTTACTTACATCCGGTTTCCGAAAGGCCAATCAATGTTAAAATCAATTTAATCTCTTGTCAAGTCATCTGATTGGTTGTTGATAA